CGTACGCCACGAGCCAATGGCCAAACGAACGATTTAATCGCACCGTTTTATCCATGCTGCAACCCTCAACACAAGATGACCGAACCTGGGACGAGCAACTACGAAGCATTCAATGTACATTGAACTCACTGATTAGCCAAACGACGGGAAAATCTCCAAACGAATTGCTTTTTGGATTCAAGCCACGCGACATATTAGGTAACAAGCTGATCCAAATTCTCCAAGATGAAGACGATACTATTCCCATCACCCAAGAAGAACTTCACCGCCGACGATTACTTGCTGCTAATAACACCGATAGTAAACGGGTAAACGCGAAAAAGCGTTTCGACGATAAACACAGGAAATCAACGAAATATGAGCAAGGTGATTTAGTTCTAGCAGAACGAGAACCAGCATCCACAGGCACGTCCCGCAAACTTGAATGTCGATATAAAGGACCGTTCGTAGTCACCGAAGTTCTCGATAATGACCGTTATGTCATCGAAGACCTACCAGGATCCGATCGAAAACAACGACATTATAAATCAATCTATGCGTCTGATCTCCTAAAGCCATGGTGTCAATTGCCGTACGAAGAAGAAACTGATTCCGAGTGCGAGGACGCTTGACGTCAGGAAGGGCCGACTGTTAACGTACATCCGAAACGCACAATTGGGCACCTTAAAATTTTTAACAACAGGTGGTCACCTAACCTATGACAGCGAATGACACAATCAAGTGAAGTAAGAATAACGGAAGTTCGATGGGTAGCGTCGTGAATAAATATATTGTTTTAGTTAAATAAAGTAAAGTAATGTTATGTAAAAAGAAAGTCTATTAACGTTTTGTAGTTAACGCAAAAAACCAAATTTAAATTAAACCAAAGTTTAAATATGTAAATATTTTTTGTTATATATAAAACGTTATTACGCCTTTTCTTTTGTAAGCATATTTTAAAAGAACAACTGATTATTTTAAAAATAACATCTGAAACAACAACACTGCTGGGTTATTTAGTCCAATCTTTTTGAATTTGCTTAACTAATAAGCAGTTCAAATCACATGGTTGCCAACATAAAAAATTCATCTATTGTGAACGATTTTTGGAAGTACATACGAAGTACATATTTCCAGTTTTCTGTCAACGAATGACTTCGTTAATTTTTCGTATTTCGTGTTGTCATTGTTTGTAACAAATATGATATTTTTTCCGTTTATTAATTTACTAATAAAAGTAAAATAATATATTTTATTCACAATCATACAAAAAAAAATATTCTCATCAACAATTGCAAAGGATTTTTATTGATTTTCAAAATTTTAACTTTAAATTTTATTACGTGTTTTGTAGTGAACGGTTGAAAAAATATTACTTCGTGATGCTCATATCTTTGCATTTGAGCTTCTACTTCCTAAGAAGTGCTAGGAAGCTAAAGAATAATATGAAGATTGCCGTTGCCACTAAATGTAATAGGGGTCATGTAGTCAAAGCGAAGGACAAGTTTAAATAAATAAATACAGAAAAATATGCAAATATAAACTTATTTTATATTTTTAATGTTACTATTGTAAACCATTTATTATAATAACAACTGGTCACCCTTAGAACTACAAAAATGTATGGACACCCTTGGCAGCAGTGACAGCAAATGTCAAAACCCAATGGTGTAGAGAATTCGATTATTGAGGTAAAGAAAGGTTGACGTGGCAGCATTAGAGCGGAATCAATTGTATCTTTTATAAACTTTGAATTTGCATATTTTGTAAGTAAAAGAATTATCATTAATAGTTCTGAAGTTGGATACAATTAATGCCAAAACTAGAAGAGATTAAAATAAAAAATTTATGTGTTTAATGACAATGTAAGTATAAGAAATAAAATAAAAAAACGAGAATATTTGACACAAATAAAAAACGTCTTTGTTGATCCTTAGGTTAGGTTAGGTTACTGGGGCCGTCCGAAGACTCACTTAGACCATGAGGTCCATTTTGATACCCTAAAGAATTTGACACCTGGCTACAAAGCCATTGACACGAGCTATGGAAATATAATCTAGCTCTCTTAGTGAATAGAAAAAGTGCGATCCTAAGTAGGGTAGTCTATGTCTTGCGAAGGCAGGACACTGTAGCAGAAGGTGTGTTGGTGATTCCTCTTCATCATCCTCCATGCAATGCCTACAATGTAAGGAGGTCCTGATGCTGAGCCTCACGGCATGTCCTCCCAACGGGCAGTGTCCCGTAATAATTTCCACTATCCTGGATAAATTTGCTCGGGATAGGTTGATTAATTTCCCCGATCTTTTCTTACTTATTTTTGGCCAAAATTCCTTGGTTTTTATGCAGTTGGTTACTGTTGACCATCTTCTTTCAAACATATGGTATGTCCATAATTTTATTCGGTGCCGACAAGAAGCAACTGGTATACCCACACTTTCTTTTCCCAGAAGAATTTGTGCTGTCGTACCATGTCTTGCTAATTCATCTGTTAAACAGTTGCCTTGGATGTCCCTATGTCCAGGGACTCAAATAATTCGTATCCGAAAATATTCAGCCATTACCATAAGTGATGTAAGACAATTCAGTACTAACCTCGAGTTGAAGGTCGACGAGTTTAAAGATTTTATAGCTGCCTGGCCGTCAGTAAATATGTTTATAAATTTAACGGAGGAAACATTGTGTTCCAGCCAATCTGAAACTTCCAATATAGCAGATATTTCAGCTTGAAAAACGTTGCAGTGATCCGGTAGCCTGAAACTCATACTGAGATCTAGTTCAGGGCAGTATACTCCTCCTCCTACTTGTCCATCTAACTTTGAGCCGTCTGTAAAGAAGTTAAGGCGATTATCATTCTTTACGGAGTAGTTTTCCCATGTCTCCCTAGAAGGAATTAATAATTCAAGATTTCTGTCCACAATTGTAATTGTAGTTATATTCGTTATATTCGAAAGGAAATCAATTTCTCTGAGGATGGAATCTTGCATCCATCCACAACTGCTTCCAATTCCTAGTTTTTTTATTCGTAAAGCTGCCCCAGCTACCTCGCCTTTCGCAGCGATGTCGATAGGTAAGATATTGAAGATAACATCCAGGGCAAGTGACGGCGTTGATTTTAACGCTCCGCTTAATGTCATCAGTGCATTCCTTTGAACCTTTCCAATTTCTTGCATAGTGTTGACCTATTCAGAGTATTTCTCCAAAATAACACTCCATACAAGAGAATTGGTTTCACCACCACATTATATATCCATAAAATGGACTTCGGTGAGAGTCCCCATCTTTTGCCTATAGCGCCTCTACAACAGTAAAAGGCAACCATAGCTTTTTGGGTACGTGCAACAACATTTGGTCCCCAATTCAGTTTTCTATCAATTATAAGACCTAAATATTTGGCTTTATCATTCAGAGTCAGAGTTTGACCTCCCAGGATAGGTAGTGTGAATTCCGGAATTTTATATTTCCTATAAAAGAACACTAGTTCTGTTTTGGTTGGATTTATTGATAATCCGCTACAATGGGCTACTTTGTAGATGTCCCAGTCAGTGTTAAGATTACTAGCCATACGGCGGTGGCTTTGGGCCTTTTTGGAAGGTGGAATTCTCCTTGAGGATCGGGGTTCTGACTTACCACTGCTTTTGGCCGTGACAGAAGAGGCAATATACCGACTGGTAGATGCAATATTTCTGCTTCCAGAAGGTATTTGCGACGAGATTTTTAACTCTTTGGAAGTGGAGTTGGAGGTACCACTCGAGTTTTGCAGTCTCTTGCTTGGGGTCTTTCAGTAGCACAAAGTTTCGTTTGTTTTTTATTTGAATTCAAATTTTCCATACTGATGGGTCCCAACTCAGGTCCGCTGTCTCCACCCGACGTGTAGTTATCTTTTAAAAAGCCCCATAGGCCCCTTTGAATCAGTGAGGTCCATGTGAAGGTTGATGTATAGCCTTATGAGCACATACATTCAGAGCCAGGCAGATATCCCTTAAGGACCTGAAGAATCCGTCGGTATAGCCTAGTGCATCATTACCTCTGTTGTCCCCAGAGACCTCACGCCAATAAATCAGAGCAAACTCCAATTCTTAGCTAGAACAGTCTGCAATCAGAACTCTCTATTATCAGTCGACACCCACGGGGAGGTTAGGCAGAGGATTTATGTCGACCTTGCTAAAATATCATTTACATATAACCGTCTCATTCAGTTACCAGACATTATTTTTGAACAATTCTTAGCCTTAGTTATAGGAAGCTCACTTATGGTCTTACCTTAATAGTTATAATTTTAACTTTAATTTATGTTTTCAGCAACGTACATGTTGTGAGTTTATTTTTAATGTTTTACCATGAAAATTTAGATCTTTAGATAATAACAGGAAACTTATACATGTATACTATTCTATTATACATTTTTTTGTTTTTAAGATCACGCACAAGTTATTGTGTACTTTTTCTTTTAATAAATGAACACTAAATATCAGAAAAAAATTAAATGTTTTTAAAAAATATAGAAAGAGATGATTGCAATCGTTCTTGAATAGAAGGGCCGTGTGCGATTTCGAGTAAATTGATAGTAAATTCAGGGAAATAGTATATTGTGTCGGTATGGCAGCGAATGTTGGTATTTACTAGAATTTCGATTAGGGTAAATTAGATAAAAATTAAGTAAGTTATGTGTTACAATTGTGAAAATTTTATAACATCTTTAATAAATATATAAATAAATTTGAAAACTTTTAACCAAATATAATAAATAAGTGCAATAAATAAATAATTACATAAGTGCCAAAAAAAATCCAAGAAAATTTTAATTTACTGTACCACAATTTACTCGAACTCACACATGACTATATTATAAATATGTCAAATATTAAGTTTTAATAGCAATTTCTTAAGCTTCTTCGGATAACGTACGGTCTCCCATCTTGCTATTGTTATTTGATGCATTCTTTCATTTTCTTACATTGAACATACGCTATAAGACGTACTGCAGTTTTCAATTTGTTTTTTTGCGGAAGGTTAGTTTTTGACATGTAGTATGGTTTGCAAGAAGCCGGTTGCATTAAAGTTTTAGTGAAAGAACTAATCCAATATAAACAAAATGAATATTATTTATATGAATTTGTAATTAAGTGCTTTAATATGCTCAAATTAAAGTATCGAAATTACGCAAAAGTATTTACAAAATTGTAAAGAGACTGAGCACTTAATGAGACGCCAAACAGATGTGTAAGAAATATAATTTAATGTTATATGAATTGTATGTATTTAAGTATAATAATTCTAATATTAAATAGTATTATAACATTTTAATATTTAAAATTCAATTTTCGCATTTAAAACTCAAATTATGATTGGCTGTAAATTTTGATCAGTATTTGCGTTTGAAGCCGCGTAGTCCTCTACGCCGTTATGAAGCCATGCGTTGTGGCTTTCTTATTTTTTTTTTATCGTTTTAAAACCATAAAATATGTATAAAAAATGTTTTTTTGTACTGAAGTTTTATATGCAGTGCTAGGTTTAAGAATAAATGCTGTCATGGCGGCGATATTCCTGGAAAGAGTTGGCGCTTCGAAAGCAGCAATGAAATATATTTTATTGCTGCTCTTATTTGGATTGCTTTTTATTAAATAATGTGACTGGAAGTGGGTTTTAATATGACCTCACCCAGTTCATATTAAGACATTGACTTCCATCTTAATAAGATCTGAGTAATGATTCGAGATTATCATTTTTATAAAAAATAAATGTTTTATTTTCTTATTATAGATTTTGTTTTATTATTTATAGGGACTCGCCAATTAATGCTGCCTCAACAGTTGCTGTTATGGTTACATTTGTGCCGCTGCAGACATCGTGATCCTTCAGCAGTCACTATTCAACTTTAATCGTTTTGGGCAGCACCTGCAAGTGGGCAGAACCTGCTGGCATTGTTCCTGTTTTATATAGTGAGCTGCACTTTGTTGTAGAGTTGTGGTTCCGTAACTTAAAATAGTGCCACTCCTGGAACTACTCAACTTTTATTATATTACTTGCTCTTCTGTCTAATTGGATGCTACATATATTCAATAATATACTTGAATGCCTGTTACATGAAATCATGACTTGGCCACTCAAAAAATTTTGCCTGTATCCCAAGGATAGCAATATTTTGCATATTTTAAATTATAAATGCCGAAAACATGGGTTAGAAAATGGTTAGATAAAAGAAGTGTGAAACGGGTTAAATGTGGATTAAGGATGGGTGTGATTTTAACTGAGATTAACTTGGAACTAAGTGGCAAAATGTGGTCACTTCTCAACTGCAAGTCGTCACTATTAAATGAATTATAACAGTCATTAACTTATTACAATAGTTGACCATTTATTTCACGATGTTAATTATGAAACAAGCATATCCGCTTCATCAGATGTTAGTTTCAGTGGCATATGATCATCGGTGTTTGCTAAGTGGAATGAGAATATGAGTCTATCCACGTTTTATATATATTCCGTTATACAAAAATACTTGGTTTCCAATTTTGGCAAAATTAAGACACTTTTTAAAGTGGTACATCATCATTGCTTTTGCTGAATGGCTCTTGGATATTCTCTAGTGTACTTTCGATATAAAGCTACAAGCGTTGTATATTCAGTTTTATGTTGTGGTAAGTTCAATTTTACATCTCTGTAAATAAAAATTCATTACTATATTTGAATATTCTTATAGTGGCAACTTATGTATACTGACATCAAAACCAACTGAACTGAGTGATCTTCCGACTCTATGAAATTACAATAAAAATTCAATAATTCCTATATAAAATGTGATACATCTAATGGTACTGGTGTTCCTTTAAAAATGGACAAAGATTTGGTAGAAGAAACATCAATAACAAAATAAACGCATAAATTATGTTACAAATACTTATATATGATGATAACAATAACACAAAACGATCAACATTTTTTTATGAAATTGCCAATTACCAGTGAATATTGCTTGAATAATTACTACAATAAGGATGGGATATGCACTCCCAGCTACTGCTTATGATAACATAATATAATAGACGATGCTGTAACGATATCATATGCACACGTATTTCTCCTAAATATCAAAGTACTTGGTTTTAACCAAATGAAGTAAAATTTTTTACTTTGATAGTAAGAACTTACAACCGACCATATTTGATGTGGAGAGTGCATTAGTTATTGTATCCTGTTTCATATAGTAAGTATTTATATATATAGAAAGCTGATATAAAAAATTCTATAAAAACATATAAATTTATTTACAGTTGCTGTTGACAATATTATTGCCAAGTACGAGTATTCGGGTATTACAAAACTAACAGCAGTCTTTTACGTGAATATAATTAAATTGTACTCCATCTATGAAACTGCATATAAACTTTAGAAACTAAAATTGACGCCAAAAGGTATTTTAGTATAAGATAATTGTTAATATTGTGTGGGAGTAATTTAATTAGATATCTTGTATGTATTTATTTGAATCAAAATGTACAATAGTTTTATATCCTAACTACACAAAGTGATACATTCATTGCCTAATGCAGTGATTTAAAACATATTTCTAATGAAAAATTATTTGAATACAATAATGATTTTCTTAAATGCAGTGATCTATAAATACGTTAGCCAAAATTATGCAAGTAATACCGCTAACCAAAACAATATTCATTTATAATTGAAAATATAAGTTCCAAATAAATATATTTATATATAAATTATTACTCGTTCCCAGTTCAAGAGAAGGCGCGAAATGTTTATTACTTATTATATTATTAGAATATAACTATGATTGGTGAAATTGTTCCAACCATTCACAAGTACTACTTAATATAACTTAACTACTAAACCCTAAACTAAATATTCGGGATACGACAACCTCGAAATGTTAGGGTTCCATAATTTATATATGAAATATAGTGAAAGTTTAAAAATTAGAGATCATTAAACAAATTTAATTATTCGATTTGACAATAAAAATTTATTTGAACACAAAGTGAATGTAATTTAAACTTCGTTGCAAATTTAGTTTATTCATCGTTTTTACGCTAATACATATTTTCATAGGTAAATATCTAATGTAACATTGTTTAAAATTATATAACTATTTGAATTATTTAATAGAAATGTAAGAATATATGCTTATTTTATTATTACAAAATTGATAGAATTTTATTTAAAATCTAAATTGACAATAAAATATTTGTTGTGTGTCAGATTGGCATACAAAAGGAGGTGCATATTATTAATATTATTATTTATATAAATTCATCAATAATTAATCTTCTGTAAGTTCTCTACCGTTCAGATTAAAAAGAGCGCCTCTACATTTTAAAAGTAGGCTCGATATGTGCTGACTGTTTTCGAAATAAAAATTATGCATAATGTCATATTGTAGCTGTGGATACATTTCATGAGATCCTATATACTTTGACTGAATAACCTTTGTTGTTAGCATAGTAATTATCCAATTTTTTAACTCTTCCTCTAAACCTATTCTGAAA